AAAGATATATCGACTTATAATCTGTTGCTGAAGAGTAAAGATTGAGAACCATGTAAAAAAACAGCCAAAAATTCGGATTAAAATCAATTTTTCTGAAAAAATCGGAGAAATCGATTAAGATGAGTGAACTTTGATTAAATTTCAGTACATAATTGAGTAAAATCGATTTCATTCAATGAAAAGCAATTTAAATCCGATTTTTTGCAAGAAATTCTAATAATCAATTTGAAATCTAATCAATTTCTTTCAAATGAAATCAATTTTAATCGGTTTTTAGCTACTGTAATCTGTTTAAATCGATTCCTGTATAGATAATCGCAATAATCCGTAAAAAATTTAATCAATGTTAATCAATTTTATGCGACGAAAATCAATTTTAATCTGTTAATTTTAACCAAACAGATTTTAATCGAATAATAATTATGTGAAAATCGATTATATTTCATTATTGAAGTAATTGTGCAATGTCAAAAGAACCAATTTATATATCAGTTCCAATTTTATAGTATTTGTTGAGCCTTAGCTTGATAGAAGCTTTGTGGCTTATTTGCTATGGAGACTCCGAATTATAAATAAAAATGAGGATCCCACGTTCGAACTCCGGGGGAAGCTCTGTCTTCAAGAGAAATAACAAAATCAATTAACAATAAGCAATGGATTAAAATCGATTAAACTCGATTACAGATAAGAAATTAGTTAAAATCGATTATAGATAAGAAATAGATAAATCATTTAAAGATTTGAAATATATTAAGCTGAATTAACTTACTCTATGTGAAAATGATATAGCAAGAAATCGAATTTCAATCAAGAGAATCTATTTTTACGATTTTGTAACGTCTAATCAGTTTCCTTCGATTAAAAATCGGATTACAATCAGATAAAAATCGTGCCGTTATACTCGATTTATATTCAGAAAAGAATCGATTAAAATCTGATTTTTTGCAAAAGCTTTTTTGCATGGGGCTTAGCAGATTGATTTGTATCAAAGACTAGATATAGATTGATCTGTTTCTTATTGGCTGATCTTGATAGATTTTTTGAAAAACGGTTATCGTAGTAACTTGTCTTATCCTCAACTATCATTAAATAGGCTTTCATATAGACAAAACTCGTCAATACAAAGCAAATACCAACCACAAAACTACTCGTGATATATAAATTGCTGTGAGTTTATTACAATTAGACAACAATATCCAATGAGGTATACGACTGTCACTGAAGACTCACCTGTATGAAATCTATTACTCTATGGTCATATGCGTCATTAATTGATGCTGAGACTATCATTGACTCATGATCGATCTATAGTCAAGTGAATTTTTGTGTTCCATCTTCTGTTGAATGAATATGATTCATCGTGTAATGTATAAAGAATAGAAAAGATCAAGAATATTCTCGATTTCATTGCCTTATCTTTCTGTCAATGATCATGCTTATAATTACGCTCGTTTGTCATGTATATATCTCAGTCGTCGATATTACATTATACTGGTAAGTTGTTTTGGCTTTTCTTCATGCTTCTATTTTCATATATCGTAGCTTGTTTCACACTCATCTGTGATAGTAATGTTGAGATCTCATTGAAATTCTATATCAAATACAGTCAGAATCAATCGATTAATGTATAATTTAGCTTTAATATCTTGGAAAACTCTAGAAAAATAAGTGAATTTTATTCATGTTATATATATATATATATATAATTAATTATAATTGATGATTAGTCTTTAATGAATTTGATTTTTTTTTAATTAAAAAATATGTAAAAAAATATGTGATAGATTACTTAAATTCATTATATTATTGTTGATATGAAACAATTAACCGTTTCACGTCATATTATTATTTTTTAAATTCTTAACATTATGGAAAAATATATCTGGAATGAGAAAAAATAAATTAAACTGTTATTGATTTCTGTTTCTTCTTAAAATTATATTGCTGTATCAAATGTTTATTGGAATAATACAGAAAAATAACAATCTTCTAAATATAGATAGACTAATCTGTAGACCACAGAAAAATCAGAAGAAAATGAAAATACAATATTAGAAAGCAAAGAAAATACGTGATGTAATCGAACGATATCCCTCGAACAAAAATATTGCCCCATGTTTGGAGAAAACTAATGGAAAGAAACAAAAAAAGAAATATGTAGTAAATAGGACCATGATATTTATAAAGTTACCAACTCTATCGGATAGCTGATACGATATATACATTGTTACTTTTTCCTTCTGTTTTCTTTTCTACCACTAACATTAGGGTTCTTCTACATATTCTATCCGTCAATGCGAGAACAGTATTTCTTTCCTACACCATTCCCATTATATTTATTGAGATAGCGAAGTATATTTTTGCTTTTGTTTTTTGTCTATTTCTGAAATAGAGGTTCTAGTACGCATCGTAAGAGTAGGAATGAATATAGCTAACACAATATCAGATACATGGTGTTCCCAAAAAAACTTGCCCCTTTCAGTAATATTATTTCTGTCCCTAAATAATTCACTTTTTTTGGTTCAATTCTTTTTGTAATAGATATAGCTAAGAAAACCTAGTAGATAGAGATTTGTATTTTTCAAAACGTTTCGCTGCAGCTGAAAAGAAGTAGTAAATTCATTAAATATGAAATATGTTCTGGAACAGTAAACTAAGGCGGGAACAGCATATTTTCTAGATTGTCAGCTCATGAGAAAGCTAAAAAATCCAGAAATCTTCAGTAGTGTCAAACCTGAAAGTTGAATTCAATTATTGAAAATTAAGTTAAATCATTATATAATTGAAGCTCAACTATACAAATATTCAATTATTCAATTATTGAATAGTTGAAATTCAACTATTAACTATTCTAATATTTTTGTTCTTTGGAAAATCCCTTCGTCCTCACCCTCAGCTAGGTGCTACGATGTCTAAGAGATAGAATGACAGTGTAATCAACTAGGAAGATCCTAAAAAAGAAGCAATTGCATTAGTGAATCGTTAAATAATTGAATTGACCTTTCAGGTTTGACATGTATGCTACTGTGAGAAGTGTTCATGATCCTAATACTTCTTTATACTGAATATTTTATTTAGTAAATGAGGATACAAGCAATAGTAATAATGAAAGAGAGAGATGATATTATAAAATAAGGACGATTGCGATGCTACACTTTTTTGTAATACTTAGTATTATCGGATCGTTGGTTAGACGTTCTTGTCCATGTTACATACATAAAATGCACGCTTACGTACACCAATGAAATAATCGAAAACCAGAATTAATGAAATGAGCTGAAGACGAGAAGAGATGAAGTGAAGGATAAAAAAGATATAGATGAACAATAGTGTAAGAACACTAACCTAAGAATAAAAATATGAAGACAATTTATATAACACATGAGCGATATTGGGTGAGAAGGGCATTGTAGAAGAGAGTGAACAGTGTTTGAATCATACAAGATGAGAACAGTCACGTAATAGTACAATCTATGTAATATCGATTGTATAACAAAATATAGATAGAAGAAGGATATTCTATTGAATGATAAGACTATTAGCATATTCTTCAATTCAATGAAAGTCACATTGTTTAGTTGATACTAATAGAGTCACCTTCACTGACGTATAGAGAATCAAAGCCACACTTTTAGAGCAGATTTAGATCATTGACAGATACAAAACGAACCATAAATTTTTGTAAAAGGAATTACTATCACTTATGGAAAAACCTCGATGCTTACAAAGTTTCCAGTATATCTTTTACAATTTTCTAGCTCTCAATAGGATTTATTCAATCTGAAAACAATTTTCTCTTAGAGGAATACGAATATAACTTTAAATGAAGTAATTAGTCGGTTTTAAACCAAACAGAAACTCTTCTCAGACGAGATTGATCTGTATTAAATAGTAAGCATTATCTTGGATGGGTACGTACGTGAGAGCGAGTGATGTTCATTTCTGTGCACTCAGGCGTAAAACGACAATCACATACACACCCCAACCGCAGTCATACACTCATTCTTCTAACTAGAAAGTTGGTATTTTCTGTTTTTATAGAAGATGAATGAGCTTATATAGTGTTCGAAAATATCGATACGAAAAGAAGATCAACTAATTTCAATTACTCATTATCAGCTGTATTTACACTAAAAATAAGGTTAAGTAAATCAAAGTTACATCGCAGAATGGCCGAAAATACATGCACCAATGCAAATACGGATACTAGCAAGCATATTAAGAAAATCAATGATCGAAAGAACAAACCCATCGCTTCAAAGAAGATACCTAGTGATGGCGAGAGTATATTCAACGGTGGAGAGATGAAATCCAACGATTCGACTAACTTGGACCTTAATCCTATTATTGATCCATCCGGTCTAGACAATAAACAATGTACTAGCATATCAACTAATTTACTCACACACACACCCCACATCCCACCAACAACGACAGCCACATCCGACACCCAACTCACAGCCACGCCCGACACCCCACCCACAGCCACACTCGACACCCCACTTGTAGCCACATCCGACACCCCACCCACACTCACGCCGGCAACGGTCATTGTTGGCATTATAATATTATTGTTGGCCATCATTTGTTTTCCGTATGATGATTATCCACATTCTTGCGATATGAGCAAACCTGAAAATAGAGATTTCAATGCTTTTTATGGCATAAAACATTTCGAAAATCATTTTGCAATAACAAAAACTATCAACAATTGCACTTCTACCTTTATATTTAAGTCTACATTACCCCAAGCAATATTAACATTACACCAAGAAGCAAGTTCATTCATGATACAAGGTGAGTATGGGACTGGGAAAACATTATTAAGATGTGAATATTATAAAACTTTGAATTCTGATCGTTATTTAAAACTCTTAATATTGAACAAAGAAATTACCGACTATATAGAAAGATTTATAGAAAGCAGAAAACTGAATACACAGTATTGTGTCAGTCATAGTTGTTTAAAAGATTGGTCTGGTGATGAATTCGCTCAGTTAATGCTATCAGTTTTAGTAACAGAATTTATTGAAAACTATTCACAAACGAAAACAAAGTTTATAGATATACCAATCGAAAAAAGAATCTATTTGGTAACTATTATATGTTATTATTATAATGGAGATAATATTAGTCAATTAGAAGATTTTGTAAATATTTTTTTTGGAAAAGCTGACGCATCATCATATAAAGCAATTAAAGCTCAAGCACAAGTTCAAGAAAGAGATGTTTATCAAGACAAACCATTACTAGCTCATTTTATAAATGATTTAAATAAATTTAGTACTCTAAATAAAAATGTTGAAAAACTTCATTTATTGTTAGCCATTATTGAAGGTGAAGGCTTCGAATATGAGTTAAGGCATAAAACAATACCGGGTCATGTATTAAGAGATTTAACAGATTTTTCATTATTTATTACAAAACATACGAGAAAAATACCTGTATTTATAATTGATGGTATTGATGAAAATCAATATTTAACTCCGAATAATGATGTGAATAAAATATCATTTGAATCATTTTATCGTTCATCTGTTTCAAAAGAAATTCTTGGATTGACTATGGCTAATTTTTTTTATTTATCAATATTTTATCCAAAAATCGATGGAATTAATATGCTTGATGCTATTATTCGACCTGATAAATTTCCAACATATACATTAACATGGAACTCAAAATCATTACACAATTATGCTGATTATGTTCTTCAAGAATTAAATAAAAATGCTTCATTAACTCGTTGTAAGGCTTTTACTGATTTCATGACACTTGTTAATCATAGAGATGAGCGTATTGCTAAAATTATTGATCGAATTCAGACGCCAAGAGAACTTAATTACTTTTTACTCGAACTCGTGAAGAAGATGAATGATGATGCAAATAATGTCAAATATCCATTCATAGCTACGTTTGAAAACGTTCGTGACGCTTTTGAGACTAATAAAAAAGAGGGTAGAATTAAACAAGAGAAGATATATGATCCATAAACATTAATATTTGGGATGAAGAGCGTCAGCTTTATTGAATTTTATATCCAGTACTGTAGTTCGGGGTTGTTTTTTCATATTCATCTTATGATTTCTTCCATCTATTGCTTTACTTTGATTTGAAATAAAACAATACCATTTAGATTATGGCATCAGACAAATAGCATTTTTCGGGTGTGGATGGTGTGGGTGTGGGTGTGGGTGTGGGTGTGGTTGTGGTATGTGATGTGCGTGTGGTTGTGGATGTATGGGTTGTGT